GGGGGGGGGGTATTTACAAGAATAATATATGGACGGGGAAGGTGAAATGCCAGTTGATTTGTTTCTTTGGGGCTGCTCTTGTGCCTCGGTGCATTGGTGCTAAGTTACTCGGAAGTAAAGGTTTTGGGAAGGGGTGATTGCAACAGCTGAGATGGTGTGGCTGGGGGCAAGAAGGGGGCAGTGGACACATGAAGAACAGGATATAAGGAAAAGAGGTGAAGACCCAAAGAATTAGACAAATCCCAACAAAAGAAGTAAGAAAAGGCAGCAGTGTCTGGGTATTGTGAAAGATATACTGAGTGAAGGATACTTCTGCTGTGTCTGCCAAAAGCTTGTGGGCACAGATTTCACTTTTGGAGAATGAATGTAACACGGCTAGGGTGAAATCTGATCTGGGCATTGCCTTTATCTGATGAAACGTAGAGCTTCCTGTTAACACACTATATTTGAACAAGACTGTAACTGGACATCTTATAATACCTCTTGATTCAAAATTCGGTAACTACGACATTTATGAGAAAATCGCACGAAACCGGTCATGAACTTGTGCAAGTCATTTTTAACCCTCAAATGAAATGTTTCAATGGAAAGAATAAGAAATTAAATTTGTCTTAAAGAAAATGAGGCCTATTTTATAAGTTTGTATTTTTAAATTATTTTTAATAAGATAGCAGCTGTAAAACTCAAGAGGATATATAGTAAAATAAAGTAAAAACTAAATTAAGCAAAACAAAAAGGGGAAAAAATGATGAAACAAAATAGTGAAAACAAAACAAAAATGAAAAACAAAACAAAATGTTGCAACAAAAAAGGAAAAACAAAGCAAAATGATGAAACAAAATAGTGAAAATAAAACATGAAAACAAAACAAAATGTTGCAACAAAAAAGGAAAAACAAAACAAAATGACGAAACAAAATAAATTCAAAATAAAACAAAACAACAAATCAAAACAAAAAGGGGGAACAAAGAAACCAAAATAAAATAGTCAAAAAAAAAAAAAAAGTCAAAACAAAACAAATAAAAAATAAAATAAAATAAAATTCCAGAATAAATATAATAAAATAATAAAATACTGGTCTTTATTTTATGTTGAGGTCAGATGTGACCTGGAGAGAATTTTTTGTAGAATCACCCTGTATACTTTATTTTGACTGAAGGAGCGGATTATATAAGCATGATGGCCTCAGGTTAACCATAGTCAAACACACAAAAGTAATAACTCACCCCAGTTTCAGGATGTGAGGTCCATGCGAGTTCAGTGGTGGCCCATTTGGTGTCCATCAGTGTTTCTGCAAAACAAAAAAATAAAGATCCGCTCAGTTTGAGGAATAAGAACTGGCAACAGGCAACAAAAAATAAGAGAATTAAATGGAAAACCTTGGGAGGAAGTGAGTTCACACTGTGCAGGACAAGCTAAGCAACATACAACTGTCACTGTCCATATTGTTAGTAGGTATTAATGCATTGCGGTAAATTCATGGGTGCAGGAATGGAAAAACGCTATCATGCTAATCAACAGTGAAAAGACGGCAAAACAGCTTTGTGGGTGATCCAGAAGGCATTGTCAAAGATTTATGACAGCCCTCCTCTAATTAGATTTAATTAGCCGTGTATTTGCTGGGTGGGATAGAAAAGCTAAGTGTTTTTGAAAGACAACCCGCTCCCCTTCCCACACGTACACACACACACACAACACATCCACACACTCGCACCCTTAAGCTAGCAGCTGTAAAACTCAAGAGGATATATAACAGAGCAAAGGAGTTCTTGAATAGCACCATAAAACTCACAAAAGGAAGATCTTCACAATTTTCTCAATACCCAATATGCTCTGCCTGTCGGTTTTTTTTTTCTGTTTTTATCCCACCAGCCATATGTGCAGCTCTCTGTTTTTATTATAATGAAAGCACACTCACTCAGCCTAGACTACCAACATATTGAGTCAACCATTTTACCTTCCGCCACCTGCTTCGGCTGTTTATACATCGCGGCTGCGGTTACAATTGAACGTTGAGACTGTGTTTACTGAATTAGATGAATTGGTGGATTGAAAATAAATATCAGAGGATGTTTCCTTTAAAGTGAGTGATAAAAACACTGTTACACCTGGTATTAACATTCATTCAGGGTGTAAAAAGTTGAAATGGTTCTGACCACATGTAGGATTATGTGTTATTATTATTATTATTATTATTATTATTATTATTATTATTATTATTATTTATTTTTATTATTATATTTCATTATGTTTTTGGTTTTTTTGCTAATTAACTCTTTTAGTTAAAGTTTTAGTAATTTTATTGTGTCTCTTTGCCATTTTTATTAGTTTTTTGTTGTTTTTAAATATGTATATATTGTTTTTAATAAATGTTTATTTCCGTTTTAGTTTGAGGTTTTTAGTACATCAAGTTAATTAAATAAAAATGAGAAATGTTGCCTTAGAAACTATCTGAAATAAAATAATTAACAAAATAAACAAATAAAATAACAGATTTCATATTTTATTTCCATCGACATTTATTTTATTTGAAGTAACAATTTTTTTTTTGTAATTTATTTTTATTTTAGTTTTAGTTAACTATATTAAACCTGCTGTGCAATCATTTATTTATTTATTTATTTATCTGTTTGTTTGTTTGTTTGTTTAAATATAATCTAAAATAAAATTGAATTTATTGTAAAATATGTACTTGAGTATTTTTTTTTTCAGCTATAAAATATATAACCATGACTCAGCAACAACAACAACAACAATAATAATAATAATAATAATAATAATGCCCATTATTTTCATTATAATTATGACTGTTGCTATAAAAAATAAACAATAAATATTACTTGTATAATAAATAAAAATAGCATTTAAAAAAATAACAATAATAATTTTTTCATACAACTATAAAATTACAACATTTTGTAAATGGCTTGTCTGAGTCTGAGGCAGACATATGGCTGTCTGATTTTCAAACATTAAACCATCAAGCCTTTATTTTGGCAGGAAAATAAAATGAACCCTTAAATTAAACTGCCGTCGTTGCGACCACAATATCGCAATTTTGATTTGATTAATTGCGCAGACCAATTTACATTATTAGAACATTGCCAATGCATCCTGATGCTTCCCGGATGACAGCGAAGGACCGCCTACTCACCTGTCAATCAAAATCACACATAGTACTGAGATCATATCACTCAAGACAGATGTTAATACCAAGTTTACATGATTTGAATCTTCTCTACTCATCTTTGTTTACTCGTGTGATGTACCACAGAAAATAAAATCCCCACCACAGGAAACATCAAGCTGAAGTTGAGAAGTTTCTAACATGTAGGTGTTTGTACGATAAGCAGAAACCGAGTCTGAGGCAGCTGTTTATACTTCAGACAGAAGCGGCCATTGATTTCCTGTCGGCATGTCATGCGGTGCGTCCGGACCGTCATATTGTGTCACTGACTGACGAGTCCGCCGATATTCAAACCCGTTTAAATGAAACCCACAAGTCAGCTGCCAGACGAGAAAAAGCTAGCGCAAATAAAACGCAAGACAAACCCAGAGAAAAGCAGTGTAGTGCAAGTGAGCCGTGAACGTTCGGGAGCGAGCTTCTGTTTTGTTTGCATTTGTAAGCTGTGCTGAAAAACAGTAGATAGATAGCAGCTGTAAAACTCAAGAGGATATATAGTAAAATAAAGTAAAAACTAAATTAAGCAAAACAAAAAGGGGAAAAAATGATGAAACAAAATAGTGAAAACAAAACAAAAATGAAAAACAAAAAATGTTGCAACAAAAAAGTAAAAATAAAAACAAACAACAAAACAGAAAGGAAAAACTAAATTAAACAATGAAACAAAATAAATTCAAAATACAACAATACAAAACAACAAATAAAATAAAAAAATATCAAACAGACCATTTTATCCTGAGGTCAAATGTGACCTAGAGAAAACATTTTGAGATTCACCCCTGTGTACTTTATTTGGATCATATAAGCATGATGAGCTCAGGTTAACCAAAGTCAAACACACAAAAGTAATAACTCACCCCAGTTTCAGGATGTGAGGTCCATGCGAGTTCAGTGGTGGCCCATTTGGTGTCCATCAGTGTTTCTGCAAAACAAAAAAATAAAGATCCGCTCAGTTTGAGGAATAAGAACTGGCAACAGGCAACAAAAAATAAGAGAATTAAATGGAAAACCTTGGGAGGAAGTGAGTTCACACTGTGCAGGACAAGCTAAGCAACATACAACTGTCACTGTCCATATTGTTAGTAGGTATTAATGCATTGCGGTAAATTCATGGGTGCAGGAATGGAAAAACGCTATCATGCTAATCAACAGTGAAAAGACGGCAAAACAGCTTTGTGGGTGATCCAGAAGGCATTGTCAAAGATTTATGTCCTCTAACCTCTAATTAGATTTAATTAGCCGTGTATTTGCTGGGTGGGATAGAAAAGCTAAGTGTTTACAACCCGCTACCCGCTCCCCTTCCCACACGTACACACACACACACAACACATCCACACACTCGCACCCTTAAGCTAGCAGCTGTAAAACTCAAGAGGATATATAACAGAGCAAAGGAGTTCTTGAATAGCACCATAAAACTCACAAAAGGAAGATCTTCACAATTTTCTCAATACCCAATATGCTCTGCCTGTCGGTTTTTTTTTTCTTTTTTTATCCCACCAGCCATATGTGCAGCTCTCTGTTTTTATTATAATGAAAGCACACTCACTCAGCCTAGACTACCAACATATTGAGTCAACCATTTTACCTTCCGCCACCTGCTTCGGCTGTTTATACATCGCGGCTGCGGTTACAATTGAACGTTGAGACTGTGTTTACTGAATTAGATGAATTGGTGGATTGAAAATAAATATCAGAGGATGTTTCCTTTAAAGTGAGTGATAAAAACACTGTTACACCTGGTATTAACATTCATTCAGGGTGTAAAAAGTTGAAATGGTTCTGACCACATGTAGGATTATGTGTTATTATTATTATTATTATTATTATTATTATTATTATTATTATTATTATTATTATTATTATTATTATTATTATTATTATTATTATTATTATTATTATTATTATTATTATTATTATTATTATTATTATTATTATTATTATTATTATTATTATTTATTTTTATTATTATATTTCATTATGTTTTTGGTTTTTTTGCTAATTAACTCTTTTAGTTAAAGTTTTAGTAATTTTATTGTGTCTCTTTGCCATTTTTATTAGTTTTTTGTTGTTTTTAAATATGTATATATTGTTTTTAATAAATGTTTATTTCCGTTTTAGTTTGAGGTTTTTAGTACATCAAGTTAATTAAATAAAAATGAGAAATGTTGCCTTAGAAACTATCTGAAATAAAATAATTAACAAAATAAACAAATAAAATAACAGATTTCATATTTTATTTCCATCGACATTTATTTTATTTGAAGTAACAATTTTTTTTTTGTAATTTATTTTTATTTTAGTTTTAGTTAACTATATTAAACCTGCTGTGCAATCATTTATTTATTTATTTATTTATCTGTTTGTTTGTTTGTTTGTTTAAATATAATCTAAAATAAAATTGAATTTATTGTAAAATATGTACTTGAGTATTTTTTTTTTCAGCTATAAAATATATAACCATGACTCAGCAACAACAACAACAACAATAATAATAATAATAATAATAATAATGCCCATTATTTTCATTATAATTATGACTGTTGCTATAAAAAATAAACAATAAATATTACTTGTATAATAAATAAAAATAGCATTTAAAAAAATAACAATAATAATTTTTTCATACAACTATAAAATTACAACATTTTGTAAATGGCTTGTCTGAGTCTGAGGCAGACATATGGCTGTCTGATTTTCAAACATTAAACCATCAAGCCTTTATTTTGGCAGGAAAATAAAATGAACCCTTAAATTAAACTGCCGTCGTTGCGACCACAATATCGCAATTTTGATTTGATTAATTGCGCAGACCAATTTACATTATTAGAACATTGCCAATGCATCCTGATGCTTCCCGGATGACAGCGAAGGACCGCCTACTCACCTGTCAATCAAAATCACACATAGTACTGAGATCATATCACTCAAGACAGATGTTAATACCAAGTTTACATGATTTGAATCTTCTCTACTCATCTTTGTTTACTCGTGTGATGTACCACAGAAAATAAAATCCCCACCACAGGAAACATCAAGCTGAAGTTGAGAAGTTTCTAACATGTAGGTGTTTGTACGATAAGCAGAAACCGAGTCTGAGGCAGCTGTTTATACTTCAGACAGAAGCGGCCATTGATTTCCTGTCGGCATGTCATGCGGTGCGTCCGGACCGTCATATTGTGTCACTGACTGACGAGTCCGCCGATATTCAAACCCGTTTAAATGAAACCCACAAGTCAGCTGCCAGACGAGAAAAAGCTAGCGCAAATAAAACGCAAGACAAACCCAGAGAAAAGCAGTGTAGTGCAAGTGAGCCGTGAACGTTCGGGAGCGAGCTTCTGTTTTGTTTGCATTTGTAAGCTGTGCTGAAAAACAGCAAAGCCGAGCATTGTGTCAGCTGAGCGCGCATTTAGATGAGGAGGCAAGTCCTGGCTCAATGAGAGAGCGAACGCACCCCATCCCGCTGCAGTCAGCGGGGCGAGAGGCCATGCCCTCAATGCGACGATTCATTCACACTCCAGCAGCAGCACCGAGCCTCCATTACGCCTCGCTACTGTTAAAATGGCTCCACACAGGGAAAGTTTTGTTTGGCCGGCCGGGAGACGACAGTTTATTTCCTGTTTCTCTCAGTTCTGAGGAAAAACCTAAGAATATGGGCCTTTCTGGCAGAACGGCGAACCTGATTGACGAGTGCGGAGACAAAAACTCGCCCTTGCAAAACCTGAATGTTTCAGTGTGAAGCTTGGGCAAACTTTAGGCTATAAACTCAATGGCATAAAGCACACGCCATAAACTTTAGTCAGTGAGGCAGAACATTTATGAAACTTGAGAAAACAGGCCCGACACATAAATTAGCTGCTGCAAAATGAAGCGCAGGTTTACTTATTCGCCACATGTTGACGTTCATAAAAAAATAATTGAATTGTTTTTTTTAACTATATATTTAAAAAAAGAAAAAACTGAAGTATAAGAAAATTGTAACAATATACTATATAACCTACTACTACTACTACTAAAAAATAAATAAATAAATAAAGCTTTTAAGCTCAATAAAGCTATTAAGTACTATATTTTAATAATATAAATATATCTATTTATCTATGTACATGTATGTTTATGTACATACACACACACACACTATTTTATGCACACACATATTTATTATATGTATGCATATAGTTTTTATTATTTTTAGTTAATTTTTAATTTTTTATTGTTATATTCAGTAATTTTTATTTCAGTAATTTTTTTCACATATTATAACATAAATTCAAATATTTTAATGGCTTATGAATAAGGTTATGAACATTCTCAGTCTCAGAAATCTCAGGAAATATTTGACGTTACTACAGCCATATCAAAACATGTAAAAATTATAAGTCATTGTTATTGGTCCAAACACTAAACTTATTCTTTTTTTTTTTTTTTTTTTTTTTACAATAAAATACTAATATATAAGAAAAAAGTAAGACTATATAAACTACACTGCAATATGTAAACTACTTAAAAACAATAAATATATGATAATATATTATTTAGTTCATTTAAAATTGTTTTTGAGCCTTTATTAAATCGTATTAACAACTAAAAATTGTAAACATTTAAATATAAAACTTACTAAAGCACGTCAAAACACCATCACTGAAAGAACATGAATGTGTAGCCGGATGTTTAGAAGTAAATATGGAAATCTGTGTAAATTATAAAATGATAAGTCAGTGTTTTCGGTTTAAACACTAAACATACAAGTTGCATGACTTGCACACATTCAAAGGCAAATTCTCATTCTCAGAGCTGCATGTTAAAAACACACACACACACAGTCTGGTCAGCTATCCTTGTGGGGACTCTCCATAGGCGTAATGGTTTTTCTACTGTACAGACCGTATATTCTATTGCCCTACACCTAAACCTACCCCTCACAGGAAACTCTGCATTTTTAGATTTTCAAAAAACTTAATTCTGTATGATTTATAAGCTTTTGTACCCGTGGGGACCACAATTTAGGTCCCCACCGTGACACGAGTCCCCATGAGTCTGTGTGTAGTCAGGTTTAAGTCCCCCACACACACACACACACACACACACACACACATATATTGACGTAAGAAAGGTCAGCTCTTTCATTCTAATCCTCAAATGACAGAGCAGTGCTAATAACAGAGGAAGACAGAGAAACACTTGAATCAACACACACTCACACACAATCTGTGGGTTTACGAGCGCCTTAAAATATTTCTTTGTTCCAGTAAGCAATAGTTTTGAAGAGGGGTATGTGAACCAAACCACCTCTATTGATACAAAGAATGTTCGGTGAATTTAGAAACTGAGTCAGTGGCGTGTGGGCAGACAGGTGAGAGATTACTGCAGGATTTCTGCTTTCGGCTTTACCCGTTCCTTTTTGTCATGTCGTTTGGAGGTTAGAAGTAAAAAAAGAAATAAATAAAAAAATCCATGCGAAACAGCATCGTTGTGAGGTTAGAAGATTTGGAAAGTAAGAAAAACTGGACCAGGAGAGCGCATATTGAGGGCTAAAAAGAACTGAATTTGCATATAATTTTGCATTTCATGAAAATTAAAGGCCAAGTGTGTACTTTCTGCACCATTACCGCCACCAAATGGAGCTACAAAAAAATAAAAAAAATTAAAATAAATTGTTAAACCGGTTTTCTCCTCTGGCCCATTGGTCAGTCGAACAAAAAGCCCCGCCCCCAAACTCATGCTATTGGTTGAGCCAATGTTTTTGTGATAAGCTGGTCGAGATTTTGGAAAAATATACTCTCTGGGATTCTCAGATCTGTGCATTCCATCTTGCGTCTAAAGGTTTGCCAGTTTTGTCTCCCGCTGTGCCGTTGTGAAATCGTACCGAACGGCAGGCCCAGCGACCAAAAAAAGAATGTCACTCTCTCTCTCCAAACACTT